TGAGTATGAGTCTGAGTCTTTCGCTTTATAACCTTCTAAGTCTTTAGCTGTGAGGCCTCCCCTTCCTATCTCTTCTCCTAGGATAGTTAGTGATCCAGTCCCTGAGGACATATCACTCTTTGATGTAACGATCTCAGAGTATAATAATATCGCTCATTCTTCTTACTTCTCGTGTTCTTCCCTAACCCAAGATGATGAACATTGCTTAGCTAACGATGAAAAAGATAAGGAAATTATTAAAGCAATGGAAACACTTGAAAAGAAAACACCAGTAATTGAAGAGACCGAAACAGTTGACATCTCAAATGATTCAACTCATAAAAGAGAAGTTAAAATCGGACTAACATTGAATAAATGAGAAAGAACCAATTTAATTAACTTGCTTAAAGAATTTATCGATGTATTTGCTTGGTCATATGAAGATATGCCAGGCATTAACAAAGAAATAGCTCAACACACTATACCATTAATACCAGGAATGAAACCTGTAAAACAAAAGTTACGTCGAATGAAACCCGACGTAGCACTTAAGATAAAAGAAGAAGTTCAAAAACAAATAACTGCAGGTTTCATCAAGGTATCCAAATACCCCGAATGGGTCGCCAACGTCGTCCCAGTTTCAAAGAAAGACGGAAGGGTAAGGATGTGTGTCGACTATCGAGATTTAAATAAGGCAAGTCCAAAGGATGACTTCCCTTTGCAACACATCGATATTCTGGTAGACAACACGGCAAATCACGCGCTTCTCTCATTCATGGACGGATACGCAGGGTACAATCATATTCTCATGGCGGAAGAAGACATGGAGAAGACAACTTTCATCACACCATGGGGCACTTACTGTTACACGGTAATGCCATTTGGGTTGAAAAACGCAGGTGCCACTTACCAACGTGCAGCAACTGCCTTGCTTCATGACATGATGCACCAAGAAGTTGAAGTATATGTCGATGACATGATTGTGAAATCAAAGGACCGTCCAGGCCATCAAGTAGCCTTAAGGAAATTTTTCGAAAGGTTAAAAAAATACAATATGAGGTTGAATCCATCAAAATGTGCTTTTGGAGTCACCTCAGGCAAGCTCTTGGGGTACGTCATAAGCTCTAGAGGAATAGAGATAGATCCCACCAAGATTAAAGCAATCATGTCAATGCCACCGCCCAAGACCGAGAAACAGATTCGAGGATTCATTGGCCGGTTGCAATACATAAGTAGGTTCATATCCAAACTGACAACGATATGTGAACCAATCTTCAAAAAGCTCAAGAAGAACGTACCAGTAGTATGGGATGATGAGTGTCAAAAAGCCTTTGACCGGATCAAAGCCTATCTCGCAAATCCTCCCGTATTAGCGCCAGCACTTCCCGGAATACCTCTTAGGTTATATTTGACGGTTACCAAAGAGACAATGGGAGCCATGCTAGCATAAGAGGTAGAAAACAAAGAGAATTCAATATATTACTTAAGTAAGAAGATGCTCGAATACGAAACACGCTATACACCACTCGAGAAATTGTGCCTCTCTTTGGTGTGGGCCACAACTAAGTTGAGATATTACATGTTGGTGCATACCGTTTTCGTGGTATCTCGATTAGATCCACTCAAATACTTGTTCGAGAAATCAACACTCAATGGACGTATTTCAAGATGGATAGTCAACTTAGCCCAGTTTGATGTGCGTTTTATGCCACAAAAAGCCATTAAAGGATCTGTGGTGTCAGACTTTCTAGCAGATTTTCCAATAGAAGACTCGACACCAATACAGGACAATGAATTTCCAGATGAAGATTTGATGGTCACCGAAGATGATACTTGGACCTTGTATTTCGACGGAGCCTCAAACCAAAAGGGATGTGGTGGCGGAGTGCTACTAGTATCACCTAAAGAAGAACATGTCCCAATCTCAATAAAGCTTGATTTTGACGTTACTAACAATGCTGCTGAATATGAAGCATGTGTGGTAGGCCTTGAAACAGCCCTGGCTTTGGGAGTAAAGAAGTTAAGGATATTCGGAGACTCTTCTCTGATTATCAATCAAATATCTAAAAGATAATTGTTCGTAAAAGTGGCTAAATATAAGATTATAAAGAGGATTTTATTTGAAGGAGAATTGAAATAGTATTTTTTTTATTAATAAAAATAAAAAATAAAAGTTTCTTGATCCCTTGACAGAGACATGCTGTTGGGCACATACACTCTTCACCTTGACGAAAAAAAACGTATGCGCTGCATAGCTTTTTGGGTTCCTCCCCTTCACCTTGCTTGTGAAGTTGCAACATTTCCCTTTAATTTATTGCCGAGATAATAAAAAGAGATATCATCTATCGTATAGATAATATTATTAACACAATACATGATATCATTTAACTTATGGAGGATATTATCCAACTTATAGATGTTATTATCCAACTTATAAATGATATCATCCACATAATAAAATTTATTTTATAAAAATAATTTAAAGGTCAACAATGGCGAAACCACCATTGAAGGTCTCGTACTAAGCTCATGAATATAACATAACATGCTTACTTTTCAACCAAAATAGATGTATTTATTATCAAAACACTCACAATTCAATATACGATCACATAGGACAATCAATTTCAACAGTTATACATCACACATGAAAGCCCCAAATCTATTTTTTTGGGCATTTTTCGAAAAATCCGAGAATCTCAATCAATTATCAAGCCAATTCAAGCATAAATCATGGACAAATATAATCAACAATCTTTATTTATTTTTTCTCTCCTCTCCATCCTATTTAATTCAAGCATTAATCATGGAAAAAGAAAATAGAAGAATTTACAAGAAAGTTGAGGAGAGAGAAAATAGGGGTGGGTTAAAGGTGAAGAAGGAGAGAGAAAGTGAAGTAGGATTGAGTGGGAGTATTGTTGGTGATGGTGAGTGGAAATGAGGGTGTGAAAATTTTGTATTGCCATACCAACACTAGTTGGACTGACGAAATGTTTGGTCAGATTTGACTGACCCAATAGTTTGTAATTAATAATTTGTTGTTGGTGCACCCGAAAGAACATTTAGTATATTTAAAAGAACATGGGTAAAAAATGAACATGTTTTTATTTTCTTGCAACTACAAATCTATCACTCTCTTCTCCTACAATTTCTCACTTCTCTTTCCCTTCCTATCACTCTCTTTCTTGGTGCCAATTTTCTCTCTCCTTTACACCATCGTTTTCATCTAAGAATTTCAATGAAGGTCTCAAATTGGACTCACTTTACTGTCAATCTCGTAATACTGGTACTTCTACTATTTGTGTAAATTTCAATTCCAAAGTACTCATTTTCTCTCTCTAGAACTTTTCTCTCTATCTTTTTCTATTTTTCAAAAAAAAAATCAATGTAGCAAAATTGCTCATCTTCAAAGTAAAATCCAAGAAAAAATTGGACTTATTTCAACAATTCAACCTTCAAACTTGAACAAATGGGGGATTCAAGTAAAATGTAAGTATAAATTTTGTCCATGCAAATTGTTTTTCGTCAATAATTTTAAAGTCAAAGTGTTTAATTTTGTGAATTTGGGTTTTTTTTTTTAAAAAAAGAATAATAATTAAAGCTATGAAGTACAAGTTGTTAAAAAAAGACCAATTGGAGGAGAAAGAAGAATAATAACGAATTGAAGCCAACTGGAAGATAACCAAGTAAGGTTAATATTTCAAACACTAGTTTGTTCTTTGTCAAACACTAACATGTTCTTTTTATTCCATGTTCTTTAAAATATGCCTAATGTTCTTTTCGGAGGCCATATTCTTTGTTAAACACAAACATGTTCTTTTGTTGAACACTATTATGCATGTTCTTTTTCAAATACTAGCATGTTATTTTTCAAACGCTCGTATGTTCTTTTTTTTTTTTATTTTTTTTTTATCCTCATGTTCTTTAAAATAAGCCTAATGTTCTTTCCGGGCGCACCATGCGCATGGTGCACCCGAGTGCACTATACTATTTTCAAAAAATAAAGGTCATTATTTTAAAACAAAGGTCATAATCCCAACTTTCGATTATTTTTTAATAATCCGAACTTTAATATGCATGAATTTGCTTCTAACGGTCCCAACCGGTTATAAAACTTGTTATAACAAGTCACCTGACACGTGTCAGGACATGATAAGATAAAAAAATATTAAAGAAAATTATAATTAAATTAAAATAATTAATTAAAAAGTAAAAAAAAATATAGAAGACTTTTTTAAAAGAAAAACTCCACCAGTGTAGCCCAACCACCGCTGCTCATACCTGAACCCTACCACGGCTGCCGGCACCTAGCTGGCCATTCCCCATCCTGCAGATCCCGCTGTCGATTTTCCCCCCTCCCCGACGACTCATTTCCTTAGCGGCGAAGCCCACCTCACCCATTTCCCCTTCCACGAACAATATTTGCAGCCCGCTACTTCACCGATCCTTCCCCACCTAAAAACCAAACAGAGAGTAAAGAGGGGTGGGTTGGGCTCCGCCGGCGGTGGAGGGGGGAACTGAGACAGCGGGATAGGGGGAATAGGCCAGCTAGGCGCCGACCGTCGGTGGTTGTGGTTAGGCTGGCCTGAGATTGGCGATGGTTGAATTGGTGGTTCTTTTTTTTTTTGTTTAATTTTTCTAAGTTAATTAAATAAATAATTAATAATTAAACCAATAATATAAATTAAAATTAAAATTAATTTATTTTTGACCAATTATGTAATGACATGTGTAAATTAAACCTTTTTTAAAAAAAAATTACTTATTCAACAGGTTACTGGTCACCTGGGACCATTATAAGAAATTCAAACTAAAGTTCAGATTATTAAAAAATAATCGAAAGTTGGGATTATTTTGGGTGAATCGGATAAAGTTGAGATTATTTATGTTAATTTTTTCCTTAAAAATATGGTTATTCTATTAAAATTAGGGGTCACTGTGTTGAATATAATGCCAGTTACGTGTGTATAAACCTTAGGTGTAAGATTTTCTGTGTTTACTATAATTTATAAGATTTATACCTCTTTCCAAAAGTGATCCTCCCGGTAATTGAGCTTGAAAATTTGAGAATCAATTGACTCATATTGACAATTTCGGAAGCATGAGATAACGAAGTAACCTCTTGGATCAACCTTGAGACTTCTTCGTGTCGAATTGGAGCGAAAGACTCGACTTTCTTAGAGCCTAAGAGATGAACATTTAGTAGCTTCTTCATTTCACGTACATATTCACTGTACGGACAAAAGGCTATGTCTAACCCATTGTAATTAAGCCTTTGTGTTCCGGTCGTTAATGGTCTATCACAAAAGTTCTTATCCTGCGTTTGAAAGACCTCTTGGGCCAACTTCGCCGATTGGATCACAACCATAGGTCTACTCATCAATCGTAGCGTGTAAATTGGGCCGTATTTCTTGCCTAATTTGGAATAATAGATATGAGTATTTGAGGCTTCAAACTGATGTAGGTTTCCAATTATGGGAAGCCCTGTTGGTCCAGGAGGAGGGCAATATGATTTTTTCTTACTATTTTTGAAAACAATTGTAAGAAAAATGACAATAAGAGATGCTGAAATAAGGAAGATGAATATCATTATTTCTTTCAAAGGAATTTTTTTTTTTTTTTTTTTTTTTTTTTTTTTTTTTTTTTTTTTGGTAGTAGTAGTAGTTGTAGTTAGTATATGTTTTTTTGGTTGCTAATTTTTTTTTATGTCTATATCGTTCAATTAGCAAACCTATTTATAGTAATTTTCATAAGTCCAATACCAGAAAATCTTGCGTGGACCTGGTATAATATTATTGTGGACCTGGTCCACAATAATATTATCGTAGACCTAAAATTTATACATACGTAACTGACACTATATTTAATATAGTGACCCCTAATTTTAATATAGTAACTTTTTTTTAAAACTTGTGTTACCTTTAATGTTATTATGAACTTAAAGTACGACATAATGTTGAATAGTGATCTAATTTTAATTTAGTGATCTTTATTATTCATATCGACCATTATATTAAAAATTTCATTAAATAAATTAAATTACCCTCTTATAAATTTCACACTAACTTTTATTTCAACATAATAACCTTTATTTTAATACAGTATCCTTTTTATTTATTAATAAACCAATTATATTGTCTCTAATGTTGGTGGTTCACATTTATTTAGTGTCAACCAGGTCCATTAAGAATTTGTAAGTACAATAATACTAGTGAATATATTATTATCCAAACATATGTTTTTGTTTTTTTTAGAAAAATAATAGTCACGCAGGGAGTAAAGATATAGAAAAAACTAGAGAAAGTTGACTTGATGTAAATATGTAATTGTATATATATAGTAGGTTCAAACATCATCGTCATCAATCACGTTCTAGATAATTATCTGTAGTTTTTTATACTCTTTTAGAGTTGGTATAATGAAGTATATGCTAAATTGCTAATCGCTACTGACCTTTTTTTTTTTTTTTTTTTTTTTTTTTTTTTGGTGTTTAGAGAGTCAGGCGGGGTGAGAATCGATCTCAGAATCTCCTAGAATCGGGAGGGAAGCTCTAACCACTTGAGCTATCCCTCACTCTCTCGCTACTGACGTTTGTTGTTGTATACGTTAATTTGGTACTTGTAATGAGTACTCCCACCGTTTGTAATATATTCGTAATTGTAAATGTTTTTTGGACTGAGCGGGTTAACAACCTTCCTCCGAAAAAGAAGACAACAATTTCTATATTTAACCAAAAGTTTAAGCTAATGGTTGAGGTCCAAATATATGTTTTATAATCAATAACTCCCCTTCTCACGAGAACTCATCGGGCTTGAAATGTGAATGCAGCATGAACCATTCCATGCCCAGCGCTTAATATTCCAATTTGACGATGGAGATGGATGAGATTCAAACTCGTAACTAATTTGTCACTTTGGCTTTGATACCATGTTAAATGAGCCACCTAATAAAAAAACTTAAGCTGATAGTTGAGCAACCTAACCAAACTCTATTAGTAGAGAGTGCACATAATTTTTAAAAAAAATATATTATAAGCATGTATGCTTCAATAAAATAATGTAAGTGGACAAATAATTTTTATTTTATATAGTCAGTTTAGGAGATAAATAATTGGAACAAATAGTGTTAGTAAGGTTGGTAGGAGAGAGAAATAATTAAATATTTATGAATGTAAATTTAGTACAAAAGATATTCCTCTGTTTTTTTTAATACATCAGTTGCTTTTTTTGTCTGTTTTTTTTTGTTGGTATAGGCTTTGGGGGCCTACAGGGGGGAAGGGGAAGGGGAGGGGTCGCTGACGGGGAGGGGGCTGGGGTGGTAGGTTGGTTGGGGATTTTTTAAAAAAAAAGTTATATATTTTTTATTTTATTAAATATATTTAATAAATTTAACGAAACCCTAACGGATTCTGCTAAATGATATTAAAATTGAAAAAATGCGATTAAAAGTGGTAGTATAATAAAATAAAACTTATAGTAGATAACAAAAGTGATATTGGTGCCTTTAACTAGTAGCAAAATCTGCAAATTTTCCAAAAATTTTTGGTAATTTAAAACCTTATAATAATTTTTTTAAAAAAAACAACCAAAAAACTCTTATTACACTAATTATTCTCTAATATTTCCTAACTAGATGAAGCCAGTGCGATGCACGATTTGTTTGAATATATATATATATATATACATATATATATATATATTTATGTGCTAAAATTTGTTTTATATTTAGATAAAATTCTTGATATCAAAAGATAATATTTTATATTTAATTAATTTAAACATAGAAATCTCATTCGCCAATTTTGCTTGCATTTCATTTCATTTCATTTTGGAACAAGTTATTTAAAATTTATGACATCGAACTTGACTAATTTATGGTTTAGAACATATGAGTACTAAATTAGAACATTTGATTTAATTTAGAACACCTAAGAAAAAATTTAGAACATCAGATTTAAAATTTAGAACATACGAGTAAAAATTTAGAACATAAGGAGTGTTCTCACATAAGAAAAATTCTCACATAAGAAAATTTCTCACGAGAGCCTTCCCCTATATATATATATATATATATATATATAACTCTCAATTAATTATTTACAATTATATTAAAAAAAATTACACTTGTTCATTCTTTTACTGTGCTCCGCGTGGCTGTAGAAAGGGTAAGGTCATGAGTCAGTAGAAAGGGAAAGCTCTTGACTCAGTAGAAAGGGCAACTCTTATTATTACACTATTCTATTGGATTAAACTAATCTTTTGATTACTAAAATAACAATGTTAAAGTCATGTTTTTTAACTAAAGTATTTATTTTTCCATTCCATATTTGTTTAAGATACAACCAAATTGTGAAATATATAATATATTTTTTTAAGTTTTTGTTTAGAGAGTTACAATTGCCTTAATTTCGGAATCTCCAGAAATCAGGAGGAGTCGAGGAGATCTCTAACCACTTCAGTTATCTCTCACTCTGAACATATAATAATTATGTATAGATAATTTAATACTCGTATTATTTTTTATCTTTTGAAGTCTTTGTTTCTTTCAAAAGGGTTTGGTTAAGATACAAACTAGGGTTGAGCAAAACTTCGGATATTTAACTATACGTTAGGTGCTGTGGATTGTAGTGTATTTTTAGCTAGAAAAAGCTAAGGTTGGTCTTTTATAATCCGAGTTAGCCATAGAGGCCACTACAAGAAAACAACAAAATTGGGACGGAAAAGGTTCGTCGTAAACTATGTAAAATCCGTCGTAAAATTGGTTTACGACGGAATTCTGTCGTAAATGGTTGTCGGAAAACCCTTTGTAGGAAAATGGCCATTTTACGACGGAAATTCCGTCGTAAACCAACTTTCTGACGGAATTTACGACGGAAATAAAATCGTCGGATTTGGAATTGGCCTTTCATGAAGATCCGTCGCAAACTTCCGACGGAAAAAGTTCCGTCGCAAACCTTAGATTACGACGGGCGACGGAATTTTCTGTCGCAAAATATTATTTACGACGGAAAATTCCCTTGCAAAATATTATTTACGACGGAAATTCTGTCGCAAGTTATTATTTACGACGGAATATTTCGTCGTAATTTACATATTTGCGACGGAAAATCCCGTCGTAAATTATATTTTACGACGGAAAATTCCGTCGCAATTTATATTTTGCGACAGAAAATCCGTCGCAAATTATATTTTACGACGGAAAATTCCGTCGCAATTTATATTTTGCGACAGAAAATTCCGTCGCAAATTATATTTTACGACGGAAAAATCCGTCGCAAATATGTAAATTACGACGAAATATTCCGTCGCAAATTGTATTTCCAGCCCAAAACTAATTTTGGTAATTTTCTACATTTTCAAACCTGAATTTTTTTAATGATAAATCGACAAATAATATAATAATTATGTTTTAAAACTACATATTGAGTCCTAAAATTGTTGTTTTAAAAAAATTAATTACCGACCTACGAAATTAGGGTTATGGTTATGTACATATATATATATAATAATTATGTCCTAGTACAAAAGATAGTCCACATTTTGGTATCTATACCAAACAAAAGCTAGGTTAGAGTGATTCTATGCTAGACTAAGCTACGCAATTGCCTGGAAACCCTGGCCTCCTCCACCACCACCCGGGTTGTTCCTAGGGTCTCGATGCTGAGGATGAATGGTGGAACATGAGTCGTTGTTGTTCAGACACTAACTCATCCAAAATCATCCAAATTTGGGCTATATGGCTAAAACCATGCATATTTACTATGTTTTCAAGCAAATGTAAGGTTTCTTTCTTCTAACATTCCAATATCAATTGCTTTTAAGTGCCTAAGGATAGAAATTAAGAGAAATAAGCACATATGTCAATTTTCAACCCTCACTCATCCAAAATCATCCAAATTTGGCCTATATGGCTAAAACAATGCCTATTTTCTAAGTTTTCAAGCAAATGTAAGGTTTGTTTCTTCTAACATTCCAATATCAATTTCTTTTAAGTGCCTAAGGATAGAAATTAAGAGAAATAAGCACATATGTCAAATATCGACCCTAACTCATCCAAAATCATCCAAATTTGGCCTACATGGCTAAAACCATGCCTATTTTCTAAGTTTTCAAGCAAATGTAAGGTTTCTTTCTTCTAACATTCCAATATCAATTTCTTTTAAGTTTCTAAGGATAGAAATTAAGAGAAATAAGCACATATGTCAAATATCGACCCTAACTCATCAAAAATCATCCAAATTTGGCCTATATGGCTAAAACCATGCCTATTTTCTAAGTTTTCAAGCAAATGTAAGGTTTCTTTCTTCTAACATTCCAATATCAATTGCGTTTCAGTTCCTAAGGATAGAAATTAAGAGAAATAAGAACATATGTCAAATATCGACCCTCACTCATCCAAAATCATCCCAATTTGGCCTGTATGGCTAAAACCATGCCTATTTTTTAAGTTTTCAAGGAAATGTAAGTTTTCTTTCTTCTAACATTCCAATATCATTTGCTTTTAAGTGCCTAAGGATAGAAATTAAGAGAAATAAGCACATATGTCACTTTTCAACCCTTACTCCTCCAAAATCATCCAAATTTGGCCTATATGGCTAAAACCATGCCTATTTTCTAAGTTTTCAAACAAATTTAAGGTTTTTTTA